CAGGGATACCAGGGCACACTGCCTGCATTCCCATGATTGAGGCACTGTCAAGGGCAGTTCCCAAAACAGTGCTTTGTAAGCCCACACGGCGAACAACAGGTGCCAGCACAGAACTCACTTCCCGGTGGACAGTCCCTGAGGAGGAATACTCTGGGACTGAGTATAACCCACATAAACAAAATAAGAATTGAAGGAGGATAAGTAACAACTGGTACCACAGAAATTCAGAAAAATAAGAGAATACTATGAATAACGATTGATATGCCAACGAATTTGACAGTCTAGAAAAACGAACTAGCTTCTAGAAACATACAGCACACCAAAGCTGAACCAAGAGGAAATAGTAATTTGAACTTACTGATCACTGGAAGTGAAATAGAATATGTAAAAACAAAAACAAAACTCCCTGCAAACTGAAGTCAGTCTCAGAAGACTTCAATGTAGAATTCTACTGAACATACAAAGGACTCATACCAATCCTTCTTAAACTCTTCCAAAAGACTGAAAGAAGGGCATACCCTCCAATATCATTCTATGAAGTCATTACCCTGATACCAAAACCAAACAAAGATACTACCAGAAAAGAAAATTAAAGGCCAATATTTTTTATAAATGTACATGCAAAAATCCTTAACAAAATATTAGCAAACTGAATCCAACTACACATAAAAACAGTAAGAACAACATGTTAAAAAAATTCCTTTTAAACATATCAAAAAATAAAATACTTAGGAATAAACCCTACAAAGGTGAAAGATCTATATGCTGAGAATTATAAAACACTGATTAATTAAAGATAACACAAAGAGATGGAAAGATAACCCATGCTCTTGAATTGGAGGAATTAATATTGTTAAAATGGCCATACTTCCCAAAGCAATCTACAGATTTAATGAGATCCTTATCAAATTATCAATGACATTTTTTCACAGATTAAAACAAACCTTAGAACTTGTATGGAGCTATAAAAGACCCAGAATTGCCATAGCAATCCTGAGCAAAGAGAACAAAGCAGGAACCACAACCCTCCAAGATTTAAGACAATACTACAAAGTTAAAATAACTCAAAGAGTGTGCTGTTTGCACAACAGCAGACAAATGCATTAATGGAAGAGACCAGAGAGCCCGGAAGTAAACCAACACACCTACTGTCAATTAATCTTTGACAAAGAAAGTACAGTGGAGACAAAGTCTCTTCAGCAAGTTGTGTTGAGAAAATCGGACAGCCACTTTTAAATCAATGATGTTAGAACAATCCCTTGCACTGTTCATAAAAACAAGCTCAAAATGGCTTAAAGATTTAAATATAAGACATGACACCATAAAACTCCTAGAAGACAACATGGGCAAAACATTCTCTGACATAAATTATAGCAATGTTTTTATAGATTAGTCTCCCAAGTGAATGTAAATAAAAGCAAAGCTAGTAAACAAATGGGACTGAATTAAACTTACTTTTTTGCACAGTAAAGGAAACCATAAACAAATGGTAAGATAATATATGGACTGTGAGAAAATATTTGCAAATCATGCTAACAACAGGGCTTAATTTCCAAAATATACAAATAGTTCATACAACTCAATAACTAAAAAATGAACACCTCAATCAAAAATGGGCAGAAGACCTAAATAGACATTTCTCCAAAGAAAACATACAGATGGCCAATAGAGACATGAAAAAATAATTAACTTTGCTAATTATTAGAGAAATGCAAAGCAAAACTACAATCACTTCACACTGATTAGAATGGCCAACATTAAAAAGTCTACAAATAATAAATGGTGGAGAGAGTGTGGAGAAAAGCGAACTCTCCTACAGTGTTGGTGGGAATATAAATTAGTGCAGCCACTATGGAGGTTGCATAAAAAACTAAAAATAGAACTACAATATGAGCCAGCAATCCCACTCCTGGGCTTCTACCCAGAAAAGACAAAAATTCTCATTCTAAAAGGTTCAAGCACCACAAAGTTCATAGCAGCACTATTTATAACAGCCACAGAAGCAACCTGAGGGTCTATCAACAGATGAATGGATAAAGATGTGATATACATATGCAACAGAATATTACTCAATCATAAAAGAATGAAATAACGCCATGTGCAGCAACATGAATGGACCTAGACATTGTCATATGAGGTGAAGTTAGAGAAAGACAAATATTACATGATATCATGTATATGTGGAATTTAAAATATGATGCAAACAAACTTATTTACAAAACAGAAACAGACTCACAGACATAGAAAACAAACTTATGGTTACAAAAGGGGAAGAGGGTAGAAGGATAAAACAGGAGTTTCAGAGTAGCAGACACAAACTACTATATATAAAATAACAACAGAGTCCTGCTATATGTCACAGGGAACTACATTCAATATCCTGTAACATCATAATGGAAAAGAATATGAAATAGCATATCTACATAGCTATATATATATCTGAATCACTTTGCTATATATCAGATGCTACCACAATGTTATAAATACACACACACACATATATATATATAGTTATATATATATATAGGTTATTTGACTGTCTGTTGTTGTTGTAAAAACAATTGTTCAACTCTCCCCTCAGGTTTTACAGTATTGTTGCTGTTAACTCGCTAAGTTCTGTATAATTCTTTGGGACCCCATAAACTGCAGCAAGCTAGGCTTCCCTGTTCTTCACCATCTCACTGATTTTGCTCAAACTCATGTCCATTGAGTCCATGATGCCATGCCATCATCTCATCTCTGTCACCCCTTCTCCTCCTCTTTCCCAGCATCAGGGTCTTTTCTAGTGAGTCAGCTCTTCCCATCAGGTGGCCCAAGTATTGGAGTTCAGCATCAGTCCTTCCAATGAACATTCAGGGTTGATTTTCTTTAAGATTGACAGGTTTGATCTCTGCAGTCCAAGGGACTCTCAAGAGTCTTCTTCAGCACCACAGTTTGAAATCATCAGTTCTTCAGTGCTCAGCTTTCCTTATGGTCTAAATCTTACATCTGTATGTGACTACTGGAAAAACTACAGATTTGACTATTCGGACCTTTGTCAGCAAAGTGATGTCTCTGCTTTTTAATACACTGTCTAGCTTTGTCATAGCTTTACTTCCAACAAGCAAGTGTCTTTTAATTTTGTGGCTGCAGTCACCATCTGCATTGGTTTTGGAGCCAAAGAAAATGGAGTCTGTCACTGTTTCCATTTTTTCCCCACCTATTTGCCATAAAGTGATGGGGTCAGATGCCATGATCTTAGTTTTCTGAATGTTGAATTTTAAGCCAGCTTTTTCTCTCTCCCCTTTCACCTTCAACAAAAGGTATACAACATAGATAAGAAATTCAAATCGTGGAGTGGAAAATAAAATATTCCAGATGAGACCCCAGTTTAACAGTTGAAAAGTATTTTAAGATGACCGCAGGTTTCCAGAAGTTTAAAAAATAACTATAAAGACTATCAGTAACCAAAGGTGAAGACCAATATTTGTTTTGTGACATAGTTAGTGCTCAGTATAATAGGTTATAAAAGAAAAGATTTTTCCCTGAAGTTTTATCTCTTTGGTTATATTAGAACACAATGTCATTTTGTATAAATCATTTTATAATGCTTCTTTCCAGTGATTATTTGGAAAATAAAAGCTTAAGGGATAGCTAGGTTGATCATCCACAGAACAGCTATCAACCTTCATTTGGAGGGACCACAACGCTCACAGGTTGCTTGCTTTACTCACGGCTGGCCCTGCCTTCCTAGAGTATGTGTCCATACCCTCCTTATAAATTTGCCTGTTCCAATCATTCATCCAGTGAAGACTGCAGTGCATTTAATTTATTTTGTTTGGCACCTTACACTTCATTGTTGTTTTGATATTTAATTATTTATTTAATATTTAATGATTATTATATTGGCAATGATAATTACATAATGAAGATCCATTTTCAATGCATTAGACATTCTAAGTGACTTTGGAATAATAATTTTACCTTTTAAAATACCACCAGTTGTATGTATTTATAACTGAAATACAGATAGGAACAAATCAGAATTTGACACAATCTATATTTACTACTGGGCTTCTCTGCTGGCTCAGCAGTAAAGAATCTGCCTGCTGATGTAGGAAACGCAGGTTTGATCCCTGGGTCGGGAAGATCACCTGGAGAAGGAAATGGTAACCCAGTCAAGTATTCTTGTCTGGGAAATCCCATGGACAGAGGAGGCTACAATACAGTCCACGGGGCTGCAAGAGGGTCGGACACAACTGGACTAAACAACAACAACAATATTTACTACTATCACCACTACATAGTTAACACTACTACTACAAAATTATTTAAAAGCTCTATCTTGGATATAAGGTAACATACCAAAAACCAAGGCCATAACTTTGATAAGTTTTCTTATCCTTACTCTATCTTGGCTGGAGTATAATGCAGTGATTAAATGGAGTACACAACAATCACAATATGATGAGTGAATGCCATATATATTTTCAATGGAAAAATTGTATCACAAGTTGTTTATGTATATTTTTGTTCAATTTTTCTGTTTTAAATGAAACATTGGGAATACTGTTTTTGCACCTAATCATTTATCCAGATGTGTTTAAAGGAGAGATGGATATCTTAATGGAAGAAGCATAAAATGGAAACTTTCTTCAAAGAAGAGATCTGGAAAGGTTACGGTGAACCACAGTCACTGAAGCGTACTGTCTATGTGCTCTCTGCTTTTTTAACCTGTGAGAGGTGACCTGATTTTCTCCTCTCATTCAAGGTCATCACCAAACTTCCAGAAAATCAAAAAGTAAAATAGTATGGAGGAGGAACAGACAAAGAAGAGTTTAGGTGCAAGTTTAAAAATACCACCTTGGTTTAAAATAACTTATGATGAAAGGGTCACTTAAGAAGGGCACTGCTTAAAATTTAAGCAGGCAGTAATGGAAAGCGACAGACCTCAAACAATTTAAGTCTTTCACAGTTGAGTGAATTCACAGTGACAGCAAGACAAGGATGTGCAAACTTACCTCTGCAGGACCTTGGCCGTTGCTTCATAGGCTCTCCCCAGGCTGAGATCATCATCCAGGTCTGTAGAGATTTTGCCGTAAGTGTTGAGGACCTACGGGGAAAGAGCAATACGTATTAAACATATAACATGACCAGATTCACTGTTGTTTCATTTCAAAACAGAAAAGATCCAAATTAATAGTTGTCTTTCATGTCACCATAAAATTTTTCTATTAAAAATTCATGTTGGTTTGGTTTATTTTTATCTATTGTATTACTCGTTTCACAGCGATCTCTTTGAGCCTTGACAGTGAAGTCTTACTTTTGTAAAAATAATTCTTTTCCTGCACAATCCAAAATCTTCCAATTGATATAACTTAGGTGTGAATAAATAACTGAATGGGTTACAACATTATTTGAAAATATAGAACTATTATCTTAGGAAATATAAGGCAGATTATAATAGTCTACTAGGGTAGGTTAAATATCACTTTTCTTCCTATAAATAGCTGTTTGAAAAGCATGAATTTAGGTGCCAGGCAATTTCTAAATCTATCATTTTATTAGAGGCATATCTCACAGTTTGTACACGTGTTCAGAATACACTAAAAATATTTCTTACAAATGTACTTCATTACCAACAATCTCTTCAATAATCAAAAGATTATGGCTGCCATGGCCAAATGTATGATCTTAATTTAACACTGACATCTGCGTGGTATGATTTTCCTTTTTATTCTATTTCCCTTTCAAGGGCTAGAAGAAGGAAAATAAAATTCCTTCTTCCTCCTTCATTGTTACTTGACCCAACCTATTACACACATGAAGACACATGAAATCTCCAAAGACCTCTATGGAAATCCTTTTTGCACATTTTCTAAGAAAGAATTAGTGAAAGTCATTTGACAGCATTGACAGAGAGTCAGCATGAGGGAAGATGGACATGTAGGATGTGTCCCCAGCCTGAATTAGGCATCTTAGAAAGTTTGCATGTTAGAGAGTGTTGATATTCATCTTTACTTTCTTAAAGTTAATATTTAGGAAATAGTTTTAGTGAGACCATGGTGATACCTCCTAATTTGTGTGTGTCTGTGTGTGGTTTGCTAGTGACTGCTTGACATAATACTGATATTAAAACTTACTGATACATCTTGACCCCGTGTTGTAATTCCTGTTAAACCTGCAAAGTTCAACAATTAGATTATTAATTTTAAGCCTCTTGGTAAGTCTTGTATGAGCCTGAGAATTTTCTTTTTACTCTGTCCTGCACAAATGACAGCACTTAGACTAAGTCTGATATGACATGACATAGAACTCTCAGAGATAAAGGACAGAATCTCTGAATTTTGTGAATTTATGAGACTTTATTAAATCCAAACATCAAAATATTTAGAAAGAGATTGTCTAGTGTCTCTTTTGGTCTATACATGTTTTAAATGACATTCTAGAAATTTAAAGATCAAATATTACTATATTTTTGTGTCAAAAATAATTTATTCAGTAAATATTGTTATTGGGTACCAGTGCTGTGATAGACCCTGCATGCTTGTGTGCCAAGTTACTTGAGTTGCGTCGGACTCTTTGCAACGCCATGGACTATTATATACAGCCGGCCAGGCTCCTCTGTCCATGGAGTTCTCCAGGCAAGAATACTGGAGTGTGGTTGCCATGCCCTCCTCCAGGGGAATCTTTCCGACCCAGAGACCCACCCTGGGTCTCCTGTGCTGCAGGTGGATTCGTTGCCGCTGAGCCACTGGGGAAGCCCCCTATTGGACCCTGGGAAACCTTACAGAGAAGAGAGCGTGCTTACAGACCTTCAAGGCATTTACTGCCTCGTGGTACAGAGATGTGCACTGATGAGGCTGTGTGAATTAGCAATGACTGAAGACAAGTTTCTCCAGGGCTTCAGCTGCTCATCCTGCACCATGCGCCGATGTCCCTGGTCGCTGTGAACCCAGAAGCAGTAATGTAACATCTGGGAGCACCCAGCATCATCTTAGGGCTGCGCCTCCTGTGACCACGGTTAGGAGGGTAGGTGTCCAGGAAATCACAGGTAAACACTTCAGTATTGACGGCTCCTCTCCCACACAAGTATGCAGCACTCCCAGGGAGCAGCCAGGGCAAATACCAGCTCAGTCTGGGCTTCTAGTTTCGACCTTGGGCTTGATTTTACAGAAGCTTCCTCATGGAACACGATGGGGTTGGCTGGAATGAACACTCACCTTAGCGTAAGAAGACTGGGATGCAAGATGTACTTCTACTACACCCAGCACATCTGGCCTAAGAAATCTCCCTGAGAAGCTTTCCTCAGAAGCAAAAATGAAAACCTCCCTCTGAAAGGTATGAGATAATACAAAGAGCTATTTGAACTTGGGATGAGAATTTTCTGGGACTCTGTTAACCAGCCATCAGTGAAGAGCTCCTGGAGAACTCCCTCCTCAGAGTAGAGACAACATATTCCATTTGTGACTTGAGAGAGTTCATCACTCAGCTTAAACGCTTTACCTAAAAATAGGAAATATACAAGCAATGGGAAAAATATAGTTCATTACTGGCCCAAAGGGGAATACACATATATATACATCACTTCAGTTCAGTCACTCAGTTGTGTCCGACTCTTTGCAACCCCATGAATCACAGCACGCCAGGCCTCCCTGTCCATCACCAACTCCCAGAGTTTACTCAAACTCATGCCCATTGAGTCGGTGATGCCATCCAGCCATCTCATCCTCTGTCACCCCCTTCTCCTCCTGCCCCCAATCCCTCCCAGCATCAGGGTCTTTTCCAACGAGTCAACTCTT